CTGCGAGGGGAAGTGGTCTGGAGAGTACTTTCTCCACGAGTCTCCAAAGGCCCTTTGTGCAGACCGTGGAGGTAAGGGGAAGGAGTGGTGCAGTGACTCTGATGGCTTGATAAAATAACTTCTGAAAGTGCTCCGAGCGATAAGACTTCCACATCAAACAGCTTGCAGTAGCACTGTGTGTTTTGGGCCTTTTCCTCTTCCAGAACTCACTGGAAGGGGCTGCTCGAGATGTTTGAGGGGTATATATTAACCCTCCTCCTCACACAAGCATGTACACAACATACTTACTTACACTTGTATTTTTTAAACCCTCAAGACACTGTTTTACATTCTTTCAGGCCCTGAAGGTGCATTAGGAGCCAAGAAAAAGGCAGCAACATAAACCCTGGCCAGCGCCCCGAGTACCTCAGGACTTCTTGTGACGGGGCCAATCCATCTTTGATTTTTCACAAGTTATCCTATTAAAGCAAAGCCCACCATGTGCCACTTGCAAAAGCCTCAGAGGAAGGTCACTGCTGGGCACGTTACCCAAACACAGTCTCAGTCCTTTACAAGCCAAAGCAGTCTATTACAGGGAGATGGTCACATAAAACCTGTATTTTTTTGCTGGTTGGGATGAGAAAAAAATATGATTAACCTTGACAATGGCCCGTTACAACCTTTTGGCTAGTACCCACACCTTCTATCTATCCATGTAATTACCTCATAAAGTGTTCAATAAATGGAGGGAGTGCCATCAAAGAGAGATCTATAAATTTGAAAAAACAGTACTGTGGGTTTTATACCACCATCTGCAAATCAGAATATCCATGGCACTGACATCACACTCCTTTAAAATGAACCCCACAACACCCAGCAGTCACATTTCATCAGATTCCCCCAAGCTGTTGATTTCCCCACCCCATGCTTTTCTGACTACCACATTTCATAACCACTCTGTTGCTCCACTAGAGCACATCCATCAGTCAGAAACTCACTCATGGAAATAAACAAACTCCTCAAACCTCAAAGAACTCTGCTAGTCTGTGAGGAGAGGAAAACAGATGACCGAGATAGAGAGAGGGGGGCGTGCTGAATTTGAAAGAGGAGGCAGGGACAATGAGTGGAGTTCAAAGCAGCTTTGCTCCTTTCCTCCTGTCCATCCCGTGCCCCCCAATGGTAAAAGTGTGGACTGGTGGCAGAAGGGGAGGGGGAGGTAGTTAAAAGTCCATCCGCTCACCCCTCCGACCTCAGACGGCAATGAGCAGAAAAACAGCTGTGGGCCACTCACTCCCCACTCCTCCAACCTTGTCCCATGGGCCCGAGACACACATATACAAACACAGTCAGGCACTCTCATAGGATGTGAACCTGTAGATGCACTCCTAACACATGCACCCTACAGCGTTTTCTCTTTCCTCAAACTCACTTACACACACTCAGGTTATATAATAAGAAAGAAATATATAAATTGTGAATAACATTTACCAATTCAAGCTTAGAAAACATTTCAAGGGATGTGATTGGCAGACGTGGCACTGTAAATGGAAAACCAAAGGAAATGTTTAAGTTTTATGTCTCTTTTTGGATATTTAGTATGACAAATCAGTCAGTGGGGTTTTAATCAAGGTCAATCTATTCAGCAGACCTCACCACAGAGCTGGCTGAGTTTAGCTCCAGTAAACTGGGGAACCAAGCTGGTGGGCTGTCTTGGACATCCCACGCTAGCACCACTATGCCACCGTTTTCATCTAAAATCTTTAATTTTGACAAACGTTTTAAGAAAAATGTGGTATTCTTTGTTCAATCGCAACCATAATTTCTATCTAAATAAACAGCTATATAGAGAGAACTAAAGTGAAACTTGGAATTTTCTGCGAGTATGAAAAAAAAAATACTCCCAAATTGCCACTGGCTGTCTTAACTAAAATCAAAGCCTAAAAGTATGTATGCAATTCTTCAGCGGTATGTATTGTCTTTCAGTTTATCTTTACATTTATTTAGATTCTAAATACATTTTCCAATAGTTTTTCATTTTAGAAAATTAGTTTCTAGCATTAATTTATTACCTTTGTGCTTCCCATTAACTATGTATGAATGCTGATTCCACATCTCAAAAGTGAAGACAATGTTAAAGTGGCTCAAAGCTACTTCTTTCCAATGACCAGCAAGGGCCAGCTTCATTGTGTGCAGAAGTCTGATTATATAGATGCCCATGGGAAAAACAACCATTCAGTTCCTGTGATCTATGACCTGAGTGAACACTCAGTGTCACTTCCATGTTTTTTTAAATAAAGTATAGCCCCTATTCGAGTTAAAATGCACAAGAAAGCAGGGGATGTTTCAGGGTGGGCCAAACTTGTCATTAATAAGTCACAATATGAGCCTATGGTATCAGTCAAAGCCAACCGCAGACTTTGAAACTGGGACCTCACTAATCATTGGGTGATGGGATTTTAGCCTAACCCCCAAGAACAAGGCTAATTTCTTCCCACACAGAAGAAGATACAGATAGAATAAAAGAAATTACTCTGACCAAATCAAGCCAGTGGTAATGACAATGGTGATTTTATTTATATAGCACACTTTGTTATATATAAACTCAATCTTCTTAACACAGATGACCAAATCATAAAAAGCTGTGTAGGTTCATTGCCTTAAGATAGCAAAATAAAAAAAATTCAACATGTGAAACACAGGAACTGAAAATTTTATTACATGTCTCTATATATTTCATCCCAAACACAAAAAAGTACAACTTGTTCAATTTAATCAGATCTCTGTGGGATAAAACGAAGTGTAAAAATAAATATATATAGCCACCTATTATCCTTCAATCTCTGTTTAGTTGGTTAAAAATATCTATTACATTAACTGCTAGCAAGATGGATAAAAAAAAAGATCAACCACTCAATGTTCTCCAAATTATTTTACTTCCCAGATGTTTTGGTTTTAGCATAACTTTAGCTTACTGCAGCTGACTAGCTTGATGCTATCAATGGCAGCCATTGATAGCATTCAAGCTAACCAGCAATAAAGGCAATCACTGTACAGTCATTGATTAAAGCCATTAAATAATGCAGGTTATTGTAATCAATACATAAACTATACTACTTAGCTTCCCTGTGTGATCTCTCACAGCAGTAGATACTATGTTTTATCCAGCTAGCTTCCACAAAACTGTAGATAGCTATTGAGAAAATGCCCAAGTCAAGAAAAAACTCAACTAAATGCACATCACTACAAAATTGCAAAGATATCATATTAGAGTTCCATCGTAGTCTGTTATACATATGGAAAATGCATCCCATTTTTGTAGTTGTTTTACAATTCAGTTTTTAGCACTTCAAATCAAGTTGTGTAAAATCAAAAAATAAGTGAAAGAAAGACATAAAAGTTTTATAGAGGATTATGTTTTTATAGGTTAAGAACTGGTTAACTTACAGCTTTCCTGAAGTGGAAGTAGATTCAGGTTCCCCAACTTTTGCTGATTATAAAATTCTCTGTATGAAAGTGAGATCAAACTGTCCCTGAACTTCTTGTATAAACCACTCCAAAAGATGAAGGGAACCGTAGATAATCACAGTATTGAACAAAGGCCAAAGTTATCTGGCGATGCTCTTCCTGTTCTTTCTCACAAAAAGCAGAAGATACTGGTTCTGCCAAGTTGACCTTGAATCCATCTTGCCTTATGCAACAGTCCATCTCTTGGTATGTTCTTCACACTCACACACTAAAATACCTGTTCCACCTGAATGGACTACAGGTATCGGGTCTTGCTAATAGAACTTCATCAATCACATGAGACAAGGACAGCTGTCATCTGTGTGTGTGGGAAGATGCCATCCGGCAAACACGGCCCTTATTACCAAACAGAAACAGAAAAATTAGTCAGGAGGGATAAGAAGACAGCAATGGTCTGTAGTCACCACTTGCAGAACCATTCCCTTTTGGGGGATTGCCTTGTTGTTGCCTCTCGAGTGCACCTGTTGTCACTTTCACTTGCACCAAAGCAGATGAAACTGATTCACAGTGGGTTATGCTTCCTAACAGAACAGATTGATATCCCTTAAGTTTAAGTGATTTTGTGTTATACTGTGATAATTAAGGGTTCCTTTATATTTAAGCTGGGTGTCTTACGACAATACTGTCCGAAAAGTTGTGCTTTATGTTGCTGTCAGAATGACATAAAGTACACTTCAGTAACAACTCAAAGTTGAAGTGTTCCAAAATTGTGTTTACTGGTTATGTAGTGTTAGAGAAAGAATAGCATGAACTTTTTTTAGCATTACCTGCAGTTACAAAGTAAATAGGAAGAAGAGCTATTATTACTCAAGGGTTATTAGCTGTAATACAATATTTGCAGTAAAAGCACACAAAGTAGATCAAATTTTACTGTTATAAATCTGTATCAGATAAATCGGATAGTTTTTACCACTAAACCTGTAAAAATCAGATATAAAAGCTGTTTATATAAAGTTTATTCTTTCTCCAACTACCAATGGTACTACTTCTGTAACAGTTCTAACAGTCAAGTGTTTGTCCCACTTTGCTGCTTTAATTACACTTGAAATTATATATTTTCAGATAAAAACACACACACACACACACACACACACACACACACAAACACACACCTCTTCTCATGTCTCAAAAAAAAAAAGAAAAAAAAGATCATACTGCCTGGAAAAACTGAAATTTTAGAATTTATTTTATCAGACAAGGATAATTTTAAAAAGTATGAAATGTCTTTCCATGGTTATTTAGTATTTATGATTCTGATGTATTTTGCTACACTTCTGCTGCCTTTACTCGTGTTGGGGCTCCATAAGTGTAACAAGTGTATACAGTTTTCAGTAAAACCTTAACTATTCCATCCATATTGTAACTGTATGCATAATGATTTAGCCTGAAGTGTAAACAGATGGTGTCTGTGCTGATGCTGTTAACAGTGATGCACATGATAATGAATCAAATTAACCTGTTAAACACTGAGCTACGAAACGAGCACCAGGCCAGACTGAATTACACAGTATTGTCTTTAATCACAACAGAGTGGGAAAGTCTACAGCCTACATGGCCAAGACTCCCTTATTTCAGGTCCCAAAACATATGCACTTATAGGTCTCACTAACACCCTCCAGTGTCCATGTTTGGAACTACAGTCCAGTTCCTGGAGCCTCTTCTCTCACCTTCACAGTGAAGCATCACACAGCAACACTGAGGAGGTTGAAGTCCTGACAAGAGCGTGGAGACATGGAAGAGTCCTTCTAGCTCTTCTTTAGTTGATTTTTATTTTTTAATGATTCTAGCAAGCCCTTGATCCTTTCACTGGCCGGCTCCCTCCTCCTTTTCTTGCGACTTTTGATCCCTGCGACCTGCGAAGGCAGAAGGAGGGTAGCGAGTCCCCAAGGTGTGGGTGCACCTTCGCCTCCCGCACCACCACCTCTTGGTGTGCTGGTTTCACTCTGCTGGAGCAGCCAGGCGCTCTCCTGACACAAAGCCACGAATCGGTCGAGTTGGCTGGCGTTGACGTTCTTGCTGACGTTTAAAGAGGTTTCAAACGGGTTCTGGATGTGCAGCGGGGCCACCTCTGGTTTGTTCTGCTCCTTGCCCTGGAGGGAGAGGGAAGGGGACAAGGCAGGTTGAAAACACATTCGTGAGCAGCAGCAGCTGTAAGTGTAGACCTTCGTGTCCTGTGCGTCATGGTCCATCAATTTCGTTGGTCATGGACTCAGCCTTTTGCTGCTTTATCTGGGGCACACATAGCTGAGTAGAACACCTCTCTGCAGGGTAGCAGATGAAGAAGGGAAATGGACATGTCTTTTTTGACTTGGGGAAATGAGCAGAGTTTTTTGAATTTACCCAAAAAAAGAAGGAAAAAAATTAGCTTAGCCTGAAATAAAAAAAAAAACATACATGGTCTGTATCTGTCCAAATGCCGTGGCCATCAAATAAAGTATCAAAATGTGGGTCAGAGGGAAGTCAAGAAGCTTCCGTGGTACTTTGCATGCTGTATCCTGCATAATGCCTGACAGTAAAGGCACAGGGGGATAAAGGACGGGCAGGAAGGATTAAAGATGGCAACATAAAGCCATCAGTCAGAAAAGGGGAGTGAAGCGGTGAATTGTAGCACAGTAAAGCAGATTTATGGTGGTTGCTCCACTGTTGAAAGCCGATAGGCAAGGGTCACAACCACAGTCTACCTGAAAGCTTCCTGTGCTGTAGGGAGGCTATGTCAAACTTCACATTAGTCTCATTTATTAAGCTGGGGTCTCTCTTTCCCACGGGTATCGATTCATTAAACTCTAAGCTCTAGCAAAATCCCTGCATCTCATATACTGTGCCATCAAAGCATGAAGAGCTACTTTATCAACAAAATTTCTACTGGGAAGAGTAATAGGGAGTAAGAGGCATATTATTCAGCACTGAACATTTTAAGCAGTAGGTTAATTAACTATCGCGTATAGACAGAGAGGAAAAATTAGCCCCAAAAACTCCCAACGATGAAACACTGTGACTTCCATCGAGGATGTTCCCTGGTTGCCAGTAGAAAGTATTACGCAGGCATAAACAGCCACATCAGGATAAATGTGGGTATAAAAAGAACAAATATGCATTTGTTTGCAGTTAATGTGACAGACCTCCTAATTGGGATCTAAAGCTCAAGGGCGCCAGGCTCCTGTGGGGCCGGCATCAATCACATGAGACGAGGACAGCTGTCATCTGTGTGTGTGGGAAGACGCCATCCAGCAAACACGGTCTTTATTACCAACAGATTTCCCTGCCGGAGCTCAGCTGGGTGCAAGAGTTGAAAGAAGACTGAACTTCTCTCTGTGTGCGTTTTAAGTTTTATTCCAGTTCCTTAGGTGTGAGGATTTGGACTAACACAGACACTGGACTGACTTTAAAACCATATTAATTTTTTGTCACATTAGCATGTAGATGTGGGAATCCCCCGACATCATATGATATGATATTGTCAAAATACTTCACACACACAATACAATATTATTGTATTGCAATAACTACAAATGATGCCCTTAGGGTGTTCTGATATCCTCGTGTTGGTGTTGTTCCCAGATATCATGAAAATGTTGTTCCAGGTTCAACATTGCAAGTGACCAATCACATTGTTCTGACGTCAGTCTTTTGCGCGCCAAGCCATTCGTCCATTTATGAAATTCCAATATTGCAAGGACAATATCAATTCTGCTTACCGTTTATCAAAGGGTTAGGGTCAGGGTCCGCTGATCGGCGGACAGAGTCGGTTTCTCGCAGCTTAAGTACAGTTTTTTGTTTTACGGCGGTTTCTCCCGAAGTCGCAAAAGTATGACGTCACAACATTCTGATTGGTCACTTGCAATGTTGATCCTGGAACAACATTTAGTATGATGATCTGGGAACAACACCAACAAGACGATATCAGATTGTGCAATGCCCTTAAAGCTAAACTTTGTCACTATCTATTTTATCCACTAAGATACTCTGCTTGGAGAATGCACTCCTACTGTGGTAATAACTACCTACTGACATGGTTTTTATGCTTTTGTGTTGAGAAAGAAGATAAAGAAGGACTCTGTAGCATAGTAGTAGAGATGAGGACTGCTGAAAAAGCATAGCCGTCTGTCTGATGGATGCATGCGTAGTGCATCAGTTGCTAAAACAAAACAAAAAAAACAAAAAACGGCAGATGCTACAGAATTTACATCACAATCAGAAACTGAGATAATCACGGAAACTGTAACACTGGAATAAATGACTGCGAGGATGCACAGCTCAATTAAATGATGTTAAAACTACCTGCATACAGTTATGCCAAATGTGTATGTATGTGTGTGCCCCACCATAACTCTGCAACGACTGTGCAGTACTGCAGAGGTCAGATCCACTAATAAATCCAAGCCCACACTGAAGGACCCCAGTTGAGCCTTTTTACGACATATGCAGCAATGCTGACAGTATATCAGAACACTCGGAGCCATCGCGGCTGTTTTTCAGCTTAACAGTCCAGCTCCGTTCAAACGTTCCTTTAGACAGGAGCCTCAGTGTGTTTAGAAAACTTGATTTGAAGTCTAAATGGCAGCTTTGAAGTAGAGGGCTATTTGCCTTGTCCGAAATGTTTTACAAGCATTTGTCAGTCTAAAAGTTTTGCTGTAGCTTTGACCGCTCTTTGCCGATTTTAGATTTTAAACTGGAGCTCCCACTTAATTCACATTTGCTCCCTTTTGAATGTGAGGAAATTTTGGGATATCTATTTATTTATTCATGCAGTTGGCATGGAGAGAAAAAAAAGCACAGGAAGCGATTGTTGGTCTCATTATTATTTCATTAGCAGAGGGAGAAATCCTTTGTACTGACTGACACAACATGAGTAGAACTTCCTAAGCAACTCAAAAATCAGCTTGTTTGCAGCATTTCCAAAATGATGCTTATGATACTTTTCTCTTTGTAGAATATGGGTTTTTTTTTTTTCCAGCTCTCAGAAGTGGACATATACATGGATCTGTTATGCCTGCTAATCACTGGCCATTGGGGCAGACAAAGATCCATCTTTGTCTGCCCCTCCCAGACAAGAGGTTTAAACATCAGGAGGCGGGGCTTGTTCTCCCAGATGACCATGTCATATCCACTCTCTATAAGACCACACAGATCACACAGCAGAAAATCTGTGGTGCCAGTTGAATCTCCCTTCAACTGGCACCAAACTATGACCTGAGGCAGTTCTGGATAATCATGCTCACCTTTCTGATATTTATGGACATCCGGCTGAATGGGAAGGTGGCGTAGAACTCGAAGAACTCACCCAGCAGTTGCTCTAAACCAAAGATAGAAAACTGGAATTAGCATAAAAGCCCGCTAACACAAATGTCACCGACATATCAAACTGTGGGGGGGCGGTCTCTTGTGCTCACCTAGCGTCTCTGTGTTGCTCTGAAGCTGGATCTTGTTGAAGTCGCTGACAAATGTGCAGTCGTTCCCCTCGATCACGGTCTTGTCCCCGGGGCCTTGTGGAGACGAGAGCAGGGATACAAGGTAAAACGTCTGCCTTTACACGCCTGCGACGGCCATAAACAACACACAGATGGATGGAGTCACGCGCTCGTGGCCAGAAAACAAGAAAGCAAGGGGAGAGCAGGCGCACGTGATAAACAAAAAAAGAACAAAGACAGCATGTATCATGTCCTTCCTTGGCTGGTTTACATCTTTAACCGTGCCCTTGTCGAGTCTCCTTCACCACCATGAGGCTGGTGTGTGTGTGTGTGTGTGTGTGTGTGTGTGTGTGTGTGTGTGTGTGTGTGTGTGTGTGTGTGTGTGTGTTATACTGCTGTTTAAATAACTGCCTGGAAGCGCACATGTGTGTGTGTGTGTCTAGAGGAGGTGGGTCATTGACCTTCCCAGAGTGATGGGCCTTTTATTGTCCTGTAAGCACTCTGTGTGATAGAGTCTGCGCTAAATGGTGTGCCGAGGAGGAAGAGGAAGGAGAGGAGGGGAGGAGGTGAGGTTAGATTGCTTTTGGAAGGCAATTATCAGGCAGCCAAGGTGACAGAAAGAGGGGCAGAGGGAGGCGAGTGGACTTGCGGGCAGATTGGTGTGACGGCAGTTCTATTAGAAAAGGACACTGGGTTAAACATTCCTAACACATATATACATGGTAATAAGATGGATGGCTGGAAGGCTTTCCCAGGATGCTGAGTATTAAATAAAACAAGTGAACAGTCTCCAGGGCTGTAGATGAAGGATGTGTGTTGTACTCAGTGTTGCAGGGTCACACCTGACATTGAAATGCTGCTCTTGGCTACAGTTAAATTTGAAAGTCATGGACACAGCAAAGGTGCATTGAACACAATTATGCTGCATGGCAATGGCACCTATGCTCAGGCTGAGGACCCCACAAGGACAACGCCTCTCTTTATCTGAAGTGGGCACAGCAGGTGGACCAACACTTAACAAGTCATCAAGCTTGGTTTACCAGATCAACTTGATTGTGATATGGTTGTGCCCTGTCTGCTAAAGAATACATACATTAGCAGATAACTGGGCTTTGTCTATGACCTGGAAAACGCAAGTGTTTTAGCACGTCTTGCAAAGGCAGCTGCTGGTCCCTGCCAGGCCGAGGGGGCCTCTGCCATGGGAGAAGAGGCCCGGAAAGCAATGGGTCTGCATGCTGCAGAATCCAACACACACCTCAGTCACTGAAAGCAGCAGTAACAGGACACCATTAATTATCCCTCCACAAGTTCAAAAGGTCCAATCTAGACCACCGGGTGGCTTCACGAGTGTGAAAGCTGCAATAAAGATATTAGGACCCTCAGTGGTGAGTGGATGCCCGGATTACTACAAAGGCATAAAAACGTGTGGAAAGAAAAAATCGTTTGAATTGTTTGATGTCATTTAAAAGACACTGTTTAAACTGCAGTTGTTTCAACAACATCTCGTGTTGTTCATCACTTCTTTTGTAAATAGATGGTTCATTAGAGGTGAACAAATAGTCACTGGAGATGTTATGAGAGAAGGATCCGGAATTCCATGACAGCAAAAATGGTGCTAGAAGTGCAACGTCCGTGAATGAAGTCAGTGAATTTTTCAAGCTGTTTTAATCCAATTTAACTGGAGATTCCATGTATGTATTTCTATAAACAAATAAAGCTCAAAGTGTCCAGAGGTGCTTAAACATGGTTACAGACAGAAAAGACTTTCCCCTTGCTTTCCCAGAGAAAATCACCCCAACCAGCTGTAAATGAGAATTCTTGTTACTTCCAAAATGTGTTATTTGCTTCCTGAATTCAGCAAAATTTTACAATTTGGTGCTTTTCTTGCCTTTATTTGCCAGGAAACACAATATTCATGGAGTGGGGACTGCTGCTCTTACTTTGTTCACCTCCTCCCTGCTGCGTGAATTTTACTCTGACTCAGTTAATTGGAACCTTTTCACACGTGCACTGGGACTGTCCTCAAAGCAGGTATCTTACACTGAAAATCTAACTTCCTTAACACCAAAAGTTTTTGTTGAATCATTTATGACATTTTTCATTTCTAAGTAACTAATTGACCAAGGTATATTTGTGAGTGTGACTACAGCTGTACAGAGAAAACCCCCACCCCACACTGCCGCTAGTGTACTCGGTGGTTGCATTTATATTTTAGGGAACAGTTAGTAAGCAACGTGTGAAGAAAAAAAAAAGGCATTATTAATTTATGAACTTCTTGTTTTTTGCCTGACACTTAAATAAGAAAGATGTTTTCTAGTGAACGCGTGTTTGCTTAAGATTGGAAAGTACACTGTTTTTGAAGCATGAAGAACGAGACTGTTGTGTTGGGCTGTGAAATGCTACGCTTAGAGTGATTGTTAAGAATAGAAAAAAGCAAAACTCTTAATGTTATTAACTAAAACACTACTGAAACTTTGAACCTTATTAACAAATTCTCAGAGGTCCGCTGTGTGAGTGCTGGATGGTACCTGCGAGGTCCCGCAGGTGGTCCAGTGTGGGGATGATGGGAGGAGTCCTCTTCTGCAGGAAGAACAGCACCATGACAGTGAGGGAGAAGTTGGTGATCCAGGCCCCGGGGATGCTACTGGTGACTCCGTGAGCTCGGGCCCAGCAGCGTACAGTGAACACCAGGCTGCGCACCCGAGGGTCCAGCTCTCCATACAGGTAGAGCAACTCTGTGCTCTTCATCGCCACCCTGTGGAGAACACAAAGAGTGACATCTGAGCATACGGTGCATCCAGATAGATGCAGTTTTCACAATCTGAGGTTCGGAGCGCTAGAGTAGGTTATCATCAAGGATGTGTCTGTGTATTGCTGCATTCATCCCTCCTTTGACCCAGATGAGTATCCCAGTTCCTGATGCTGGGAAACATCCCCACAATGATGCAGCCACCATCGTGCTTCACTGTAGGGGTGATTTTGACTACTTTTGTTTACTCCAGACATGACGCTCGGTATTCAGGCCAGAGAGTCAGAGATCTGAGAGTCCTTTAGCTGATTTCTGGCAAACTCCAGGCGGGCTGTTATGTACTTCTCACTGTCTGATTTTAGAGATTTCAAATGGAAATTTAGTAATATGGAATGGCTTTTGAAAATAAATGACACTATGTTCAATTATAAAATGCCTGCATTTTGCCTTAAATATAGAACTTGGAGATGTGTTAACAGCATTAACAGTTCAGAGAAATGGTGCAAGGGCCGACCATTACAGGTCAGAGAAACTAAATGTACCGCTGGAGAGCAGCATTCAGCTGACTCGGCTGCTGTTCGTCTGTTTTTCTTGAATGCACACATTCACACCTCAGGCAGGAAGGTGCTATGCTTCAATGATGTGTGAGCACGATTTAAGAAAAGTCCCCCCTCTCACAGCCACCCACAGATGCTGGTTCAACTCCATTTCCTTAGAAACTGCAGAGTGGTTTTCTGTACGTTAGCAGGTGTGTGTGTGTGTGTGTGTGTGTGTGTGTGTGTGTGTGTGTGTGTGTGTGTGTGCGTGCGTGCGCGTACTTGTGTCACACACCAGCAGAGACCACAAGTCAATAACGTTGGAAGGAAAAGAAGTGAAACACAAACAAGCCCACACTTCGTGTTCAGTTTCACAGCGGAAAAATGCAAGACTGACCCATCGTAGCACTTCCTGCCAGAGTCTGGTTTCTGTCTGGGAGCTTTTATAACGCAAGCGTGGTCAAAAATGGTATTATGGGTAACGTAAAAAGAGCATTTACTGTGAAGCAAGAGAACTGTGACCAAGTCAAATCTGACATTTTACTCATTCCACTGACGTCAGAACATCTGCACTGACTGAGTACCTGTTGTTGGCTGTGAGGTCACACTGAAAGCCAGACGGCTGGTGGGCGAAACGGACCAGAGGGCACCGTGCGTTGAGAATTTTCTGTACCCCCACGCAGCCGGGCCCAAACTGGTCGACGCACTCCCCGATCACAGACAGGATGCTCTGAGTAACGGCTCGCTCTGAATTGGCCCGCTTCATCTGGTACTCCAGGGAGAGGCCTGACTTAGGCTGCACACACAGGGAGGAATATACAGAATAACAGATATGTTTACACTTTAATTTTTCAATTGTTTTGTCCTAAGAAACCATGAGGCATACAGTGGTTATTTTCATTTGATCCTATAGTATCTCCACACCTTTCTGTCTTATGACATGTAAATAAAGTATTCACCTAATACATGTTTCAGGGTGACTCTCTTCTATGTCAAGTTGATGTCTGTGGTCATTCTAGTTGAGCTGCCAGTTAACCGTTACATTACTGCAAGTGCATTCATAGCTTTCAAACAAACTAAAGACAGACACATGCACATCAGCTGTCTGAAAGTCAGACCAACACATCAGCATTTTTAGTTTGGCAATAGTGGGGATCTAGCAGGTGGCAAAAAGAAAGAAGCAACCACTTTTGCACCACTTTGTTTGGTTTTATGCAAAGGATTTCTGGGTAGTGCGTCGCTGTGGGGTGATATCAGGAGATAAATCAATATGTGAGGGCAATTTTTATATACATGTATAGGTGTTTTCAAACATATGTGCCATGAGCCAAACATACCCTGCAAAAGGGTTCAATGCAGGCCACTGGATGCATTTTTAAGTAAGACCTACACAACAAGAACCCCTGCTGCACAGAAGCATTCTTTTGGAATAAAAACAACCAGAAACAACCTGCGGCATATTTTTCAAATTCCTCCTACTTTTTATGAGCCATCTGTGATGTTTCATTATATGAATATACTTCAAAAAGTGCTTCATGGGAATTTTTTTATATGCCGCTATTTAATGGGTTTACTGATCTAGCTCATTTGAGATCAACTTGGACAGCATGTTGCCCATTAACTTAAATAAGTTTGATAACTCTGTCACATGTTTTATTGCTCCCTCAGTGCCACTGGATAATAAAATGAAATTGGTTCATGTGTGATTGTGGTGGCAAATCCGCAATTGCTGGCAGAGGTACTTAAAAAAAGTCTAAAAATACTAACCTAATTTCCTATAACGGTGAAGGTAGACAAGTGCAAATGCCTGCAGCCAAGCATTCAAAGCAATGGAAAGTGAACAAGAGAGGTGAAGAGCAGAGTACAGGCAGGGTGAGTGGGTGGAAATGAGTGTCAGGGGCGACTTATGACAGTAAGAAAGCAAGACTGAAAGGGAAGGTTTATGAGCGGGTCGTGAAACCATCTATGATGTGTGGCTTGAAGACAGTAGCACTGACAATAAACACAGAAGGCAGAGCTTACAGGTGGTGGAGATGGTGATGCTAAGATTTTCAATATATTAGAAATGAGTACATCAGAGAGACAGCTATGATTAAGCATTTTAGAGACAAAGTCAACAGAAAAAGAGAAAGACCACAGACAGGATTCATGGATGACAGAGGAGGACGTTAAGGTCACATAGAAGCGGATGATCTGCTGTGTCGACCCCCAAAGGGAGCCGAAAGAAGCAAAAGAAGAACGTGGTTCTTTCATATGCCTTTTTTTGGTGTCAGAGACAACAAAACAAACCAAAGGAGTAGTTAGTTTAGATGCAGATAAAATGCTTAAAAGGAAAGCTACCTCACAACTCACAAGGAAATCACTGCAAACTGTTTGCCAATAAATCTAATATTTTCTAAAGAAACCTAGAAAGCCTCATTACCAGTTTCACATTGCGTCCAGTGATGCTGTCCAGATCCAGCAACATATCCAGGTCACAGCCAAGCTTTCCAAAGCCATTCACTGATGAGCCAAAGGGTTTGATGGTGCATTCTGGAAAATAAGCGGTAGCAATATCCTTGAGTAGGGAACAGACGAGGAAACGCAGCCTGCTGTTCTCCTCTGTGAGTTGATAGGCTTCAGTCAAGGAGCTTATCTGCTTGTCTATCTGAGGGAAACCAGGAAATGGGAAACATCCAAATCAATCAACTTCAAACAAGACTTAAAATGTAAGTATAACTTTTGATGTGATAAGTCAACATACACTCTCTTCTCTGGAAAGTCTCTTTATTAGCTCATTGATGGGAATAGTGGTCTGAGGTTGGCACTGCCGGCCTGACAGTTGGTTTGATGAGTCCACTGAGCCGAGGTTTCTGAGTGACAACAGTCTGGATTTGAAAGGCACTGCGGATTCGTGGCTGCCACCAGGAATTGCCACCCCTTCAAGTAAAGACGTAACACTTTCCTGGTTGGCAAACTCCACTACAGCATACACTCCCTGGAGAATTACACAATATCATAATTGTAACATAATTCCAACAGGGTGGTGAGGTAGCAGTACTTGCTTATCAGAAGAGGTTGGTCTTTTACTCACATAGCTTTCATAAAAGAAGTATTTATTGATTTCTCCATGTTTTGATAAATACTTGAGGAACTTTTTCTCATTGGTACTGGACTGACAGCTGATGAGAACGGACCTCTCTGCTTGTTCTTGTCTCTCCATGTGGAGAGTGTGCAGAGACTTCCTTCCATTCTTTTCATCTGACAACAGAGAAGAAGCCATCCAACAAGTCAAGTTTTTTTCTCTGAGAGTAAGACATTTAAAACTGTGTAATAAGCACACCGTTGTTAACAGACAGACAGGCCTAACATTAGTTTCAACTTGGGTGACTGATATCAGCTTACTAGGAAATAATATGACATTTACCGGTGACAGCAGGCAATAATTCTGTGGTGTGTCACGTCAGTTTTGCACTGATAAACGTTCAAAGACTGGGATGCACCAAATTGATAATAAAATGCAAAAAGTGTGATGTATCGTCGGTTAAGTTCTAGTTTTCATTGTTCAATTGTCCCAGAACATGTCAACAAACCTCATTTAAAAAACTGTCAGTTTTACAGTGGGGCTTTCTATGTAAATATACACCTCCCGCAAATGACAGGTACAAGCTCAAAACGTTCTATATAATAACATTTTAGCCCAAAAAGAGTTATCGCGTTGTTATCGTTAACAGTCACACTGCCGAATTTTACGTATGACCCAGTGATTTCTTACAGGTCACACATTGTGTAAAACGCACAACGCACTCAGAGTTACGGCCTTCACCAACAAAAATATAACGTTTCTCAGGGGAGTTTGGAATGGTGCTCACTCGACATCACACGGCGGTGTATTGGGGCTAGCCTAAAGGCCAGCTTCTCTTCTAGGCTTAATTACTAACCACTTTCGTCACTTCGAGTGGCCTCAGCTCGGGCAATAACGACGTCTGTTCCTATACTTCTGTGAAGAAACGCGTCGGTTTTCTGTAGGCACTTCGCGAGGCTGGCCCTTCCTCTCATATGTAACCTGCACACAGCAAAGGAGGACGCCATTGTTTTTCGGAATGAAGCGTAAATGCGCATGCGGCTGGTCCTGTCTACGGCAACCTAGAGATACCAGAAAAGACACTTTCTAGTGTTTAAAAAACTATCATCCGATTTCTTTGGGCTGACTCTGTAACGTCTTTTAAAGGTATCAAATTTGAAATTGAATTGAAATTTGTTTTTATTTTATTTACTACGAATGAGCTTCAGTGTTGGTGATATATTATGCATCCTACATTAAACGAGACACGTCTCCCGATAGGAAAGCACCCAACAGTCCTGAAAGCTTTTCGGTTTTTTTTATTTTTTATTTTTTTGTTGTGTTTTTTCATTTGAGGAAACAAGAAAAGGGAAAACGAAACCTACAAAGACAGCGAGAGAGAGCTGATGGCAGCTGACACTAAAGAGATACTCCACCTCCACAGACACGCCACACTTCCTGTGTTTACTTCGTTCTAAACACAATCCACGAAGCTTCATACATCAGACAGTCTGCGGGGCGCCACAATGAAGACACGACGGTGCGCTTAAGCTTCCGACTCAATTTCATAAGGCAGGTAACGCGTGGTTTCTGTCACTCAAAGAAGTAACTCCTGTTATTCAGCGAAACTCTATTTTTCTTTTCTTTAGCAGCTGAATATTTGGCAGATAGCTAGTTATAGCTCTACAGCTACTGTTTTTTGTTTGTTTGTTTGTTTGTTTTATTTTTCTAGGCACCTATTCTAAATTTGCATGTTTGGATCGTAATACGGTTTATTTTTTATGTATTTATTTCAAATGTTGCATGGGGTTTGCATTAATGCACATGTGTATGATTTTCATCGAATAATGTGAGCTGAACTCTTTATCGCAGCATCATAATGCTAATAATAGTTATAATAATGGGCAGTTGTTGTTTTATAAATGTATAATAAGGTTCAAGCTTTCCTGGGGGGGCTTCCCAGCTTTACTGCGAAACTCCCTTCTTTTGCTTGGAAAACAGCCCTGTGAAGCCCCTCCCAGTTGTGTGTTCAGCCAGCTGTATCAAAGCTTCACTTCTTAAGTGTAGTTTCACTGCACGTCCTGCTCCCCACGTGAACCTTCCCTGTCATGAACGATCCGCTTGCTTATACAATTCAAGTCAGCACGGAAACAGTCCCCACACTGACCTCCTGATGTTTGATTTTAGATGGAGCTGGACAAACGGAGCATTAACATGGATTACAAATATGATTCGGGAATAGAACTGCTCTTGACTCACATGAATTTAGAGGACATTATTAACGCTGCAGAGACTCTATATCGGCTCGAGGAAGAGGAGGAAGACGAAATCTTGTCGTTAGAAGACGAAGAAGGACTTTCCCAGGAGGAGATGGATGAGAATGAGGAGGCAGGGGAGGTGGTGGTTTTGGGGAGTGAGCAGAAGGACTACGCTAATGGAGTTCGATATGGGACTGTGACAGAGGTCCTGTCCTTTGTCAACCTCCTGTCCAGCATGCAGACGGCAGCCTTGCCAAACCTGCCAGAGGAAATGGGAGTCCTCCTAAATAAGGTGAGAATCTTGTTGTTTTTTCTTTTTTTAATCTTCAACATAACCTGAATGTTTAGTTGATGTGGTCAGCCTAGAAAAACTTGCATAATTTTCTTTTTTTTTCCTTCCTAAAAACAAATAGAAGGACATGGCTGTGAAAAAAGGCCGCTACCAGATTAACATGGACGTTCTCCTGTTTCCATGGAAATTGACCTACAAGAATCATGGGTCTGGCCTCGTGCCTAAGGGCTCATTTGGGAAAGTCCACTTGGCTCAGGACACCACCACCAGGAAGAGAATGGCCTGCAAACTGGTGAGTCTTCCTGATCGGTGACTAGAAATCCCGCCTGTGCTTGACTTCTCGACAGCTCTTGACCTGCGTGCCAAATATTTAACCTGCCAAATACTGCTTGTTCACAGTCCAATTACTCCTCTGTTTGTACAAAGATTGTTGGTGCCAGCGTGACATTTGCTATGTTTACTGGGTGAAAGAGGAACAGGGTTGCTGAATGAAGAACTATTTGTTCTTGTAACAAACTTACAACATGGGCTGGGATTAATGTAAGACTGGAATTTCAACAATAACTTCCCACAGCTCCTCTGGATGTTTGTGACAGGGTCAGATTCATTAAAGACACATGTAAAAACCACACATGCTGCTTCTATCTGGGCAGACCTATGCTTGAGAAAGAGGAGGGAGGGAGGCAGCGTGCTTATGCTGTTGTATGGAAAATATTGACAAATGAGGAAGGAGTACTTTCCTCTCTAGTCAGGTGTCATCGTCAGAATACTATGTTGACACAGTGTTGTTTTTTTCACGCTGCTGTGAAGGATTTACTGGAAATAGTTTGCAATAAGGGCTTGGAGTTAGGATGTCCTTATCTGCTTAAAACAATGCCATCATCAGATAATAATTACTGAGAAATTATTCCTTTAAAGAAACAACTTTAAAATTATCACTGACAAACTAATAACAATAGATTTCTTAAAGCACAAAAAACAGGATAACAGTATGTTACTATGTCAGCTAATCTGTTAAATACAGAAAGAGTCAGTGTCCTTGTGAAGTATGTATTAAATGTATATTTTATTTGCAGAACTAACTGAGCTGAACTACCCGATTAGGCTGTCAGGGTAAAAAAACAATAATTATAATAAAAATGAACCATTAATTGTAGTTCCTTAAATCGCCACTTGAGGCAGGGTCCAAAACTTCAGCATTTTATATGTATGTAGCACATTTTGCTCTCACACTGTGTGGTGGTTAGCACTGTGGATTCCTGGGTTCAAATCCACCGGCCGGCTGGGGCCTTTCTGTGTGGAGTTGGGATGGGCTCCAGATAAACCACAATACAGAAGTGGAAGAAAATATATGGACAGAACTAAGTATGCATTTTACCGAGCTAGCTAGCTCTACCAATAACTGATAAATCCTCTGTGCACTGTCAAATAAAGCCACCCTTGCCAATAAAAATGCAAAATGTGAAAAGTCAGTTTGTTGTCACTGTAAGCAAACACGGATCCATTTGGCCAGCAGTCCCCAGGATGTCTCATTTAGCTCATTGGCTTCATATTTAACAGTCAAATGCAATGGTGTCACCGAGCCTTTTAACTCACTCCAAGAAATAAGATGAACATGTTTCCCAAAACGGTGGGCTATTTGTGATCATGTGTCTTATCTCCCTCGCTAGATCCCCATGGAGAACTTCAAAGCCGCTGATGTAGAGTTTCAGGCCCGCTTTCACCATGAGAACATCGCCGAGCTGTACGGCGTTCTGCTCTGGAACCAGAGCATCCACCTGTTCATGGAGGCCGGCGAAGGCGGCTCTGTGCTGGAGAAACTGGACAGCTGCGGACCGATGAGAGAGTTCGAAATCATCTGGGTGACCAAGCAAGTCCTGCGGGGCTTGGAGTACCTGCACTCACACAACGTCATTCACCATGACATCAAACGTAAGCATAAAAGATGTGTGTCACTTACTCTTGATGGATGTGCTCCATGGTATTGAACAAGTACATAGGTTACAGGAAATTATGCAATTACAGTTTGTATCTTCTATGCGTCAAATTCAAGCCACAGACGGATATTGCTCTTGTAAATAACTCAATTCGCTGAAAAGAATGAATCAGTGAACAGCCACAAACCAAGCAGATCATAGGAATCTGATAGATTGACTAATGCTTTTTCAGTAATTCTTCAAAGGTAGCCTGGTCACAGTGACTGGTAGCTATCATGACAGATCACACAAATACGCCCTAGTTACTGCAGGTGGAGCTCAGCTGAGGAACCACAGCAGTGCTGCTGGGATCAAAGCATTCTGCAGAGCTGTCTGTCAGCCTCACTGCTTAAAGGCTCGCTGGCTGTCTGGAAATTCCAGCCTGCTTCTCATGCTCAGTCAGGGTTACAATTATGGTCCAGAGAGGCAAGTGACTTATTAAAATGACCATTCTGGCCCTCTGACAAGCTGCGGTTCTTAGCATTTCCTGCCTGCAGTCAAAATATGTAATTAAACCTTGGTGACATTTTAGGGACAAGGATGAGTCTCTTCGTGGCAATTTCCTTCGTCAAAGCCTGTGACCTACTTATCGTTTTCATGCTTAAGATCAATACAGACTCAGTGGACCTGAAACTGAAATCTTATCAGTTCAAGCACCAACTTGAATCACACCTCCTTCCTTTTCATCTCTCCACAGCCAGCAACATTGTCCTGATGTCAGACAAAGCAGTCCTAGTGGACTTTGGGCTGACAGTGCAGATGACAGATGATGTATACATTCCCAGAGATCTGAGAGGAACAGAGGTAAGGAAATAAGCCGCTCCTCCTTAAAAGATGTAAGTGTAGCCCTGTAATGAATGCGGGCCTTCTGTTTTGAGTAATTGCTCTCCGATCAATGCTTGCTTTTCTTTTGCTGATCTGGAGCGTGTGTTGACACGTGACTCACACTAGACTTCCCTAGGGATTTTAGCAAATTAGTCCCACGACTTGTCAGCACTTGTGTGCTTTTCCAAAATGATTACAGAGTCAGTGACTGGCAAGCATTAATTTAGAGCAGTCAGTGCACTCATTGGCCTCACAGCCACTATTAATAGCTTGCTGATGCTCAGGGCTTTCAGCTCTTTAAGTTGTTTTTTTTTTTAGGATGAAGATTTTGCACACACCTTCTCACCCACTGGTCCTTGCTTTCCCATGCTTGTGTGACAGTCTATATAGTTCTGTGTACATGCACCCCCGGGCCTCTCAAGTGCTTGTGGAAAGTCCCAGGGCAGACACCCAGGAGTAATAATAAGAGAGGCACAGCCTGTGCGTATTTACAGGCACAGCCTGTAAATATGCTGGGCTGCTCAGGGTTACATGAACATGGGAGTGCAAGCTGGAATTTCCAGCAGAAAGACACAAAGAGATGAACTCTGGTGTGTTTACCTTTCACCCTCCAAAGGCCAACACACTTCTGCACTTCCCTTACCTTTTTTCATGCGCAGCGTGGGTCTGCAGGTTGCTTGTTTGGTTGCAGGCAGAAAACCCCTTTTACACTAACAACAGGTCACTTCCTGT